TGATGATATCCCCCCCCCCCTACATCATCCCTGACAATTAGATTATTATTGTAAATTATTTTTCGATATTAAAAGCCAGTACACTATTTATTGAGACGAGATATTAATTTACGTGTTTCCATATCACCTATACCCATGGGCTATCTATAGTATATTTAATCCATGATACTGCTGCCATTGTAAAATTAACGGCGGTTGTTGGGAATCTAGGAAAAAATAAAACCTATTGGCTACTGATTCTACGTATTGTGTACACGGTACATTTTGATAGATAATAAACCCAATTTAATAAACGCATTTGATGTTTCCATTGACCATTATAGGTTACAATAAATTAGAAAAACAATATTTTGATAATTTAACAATTTAACCAGTCAATTATTATTTATAAAAGAAGAAGTGTTACCGTTACCGATAATGTAAAAAATCAGTACAGAAAATTTGGGAGTACTATGCAATCCCAAGCACCCCCCTAGTTGCGCCCTTGATCTGTGTACTTATATATTGTATATAAACACTTTTTTTTTTTTACTTATACATAATATCAAAACTATTTAAAATTGTATTATTATATTTACATTGTAAACAATATTTTCGTTTTTATTGATTTGTAAATATTCAAAAAACTACATTGTACTGATGTAAATTAAAAGAATAATATAAAATAAACACAGGAGTCATTGGTTTAATATACTAAAAATATAGATAAATGATGATTACAATGTCCTAAAATCATATTAATCATTTTTAAAGAAAATTCTTTTCATATTTCTCAATTTGTCTCCAAATGGGTTGGTGTTTTTACAATATTTTCTTACAAAATTAAAATATAGTGGAAAAAAAACATTAATAAATGTACCTTGTATACCTAAAATTAATAATCTACACAGTTATGTTTGTTTAGAATGATATTTTTATACTTTCATGACTTCAAATTGTATTTATGCATTAATATGTACGTGCCATATCAATTTATTAGCGTTTTCCTAAATATTTATAAGTAAATTACAAATAATTACACAAATATCTAAAATTAATAACTCTGTATTACAGTATAATCATGATATTTGAACATATCTGTAAGAATACTAATCAATAATTATTAAACCATATTATAGTAGTTTTTTTATAGGTGTTATATGTGAAAAACTTTGATTAGGATTATATTTTTTAATTCACATCAGTTAAATGTGTTTATTTTTAATATTTACAATTTAATAAAACCCAATGTCATAATAAATTATGAAAATCTCAAATATATACCATAAATATTACATTAACTTAGTTAAATTATTGTCACAATGATCAATACATTGTCCTGAAATCAAATAGTCATATTTTAAGAAATTTCTACTCATATTTCTCCAACGTACTTTAATAATTTTACCCTTATATACGAATACAGCCAAATGTACCATAGATAACTATTTATCAACATAGTTTTATTTGTTTTGAGTGATATTTTTATACTTTCCAAATTTTTTATTGTGTTTAATGTGTATTTATTTACATGTCATATCAATGTATCAGTATTTTTCTATACATTTAGATATTATAAAAAGGATACCTTGAATATGTTTTATGAGATTTATTCAAAATCAATTAATTTAACTAATATATATTTGATTTTAAAAAGGCACAATTTTAGAATTTTCATAATTAATTGACGATTATAAAATTTGATATTACTTTTTTTGTCATGAAAATTGTATTACTTAAAAGCCGAAGTAAGTTCATATATAAAATAAATTAATTTACCCATACTTTTCTTAGCTGTACATTTAGGATTGTATCTATGATCTTCATTTAAAATTGAAAGGATACTATTTAGAATTATGCTGATAAAATATTTCCTTCCTTTGTAAGAAGTACTGACATTTTTCAATGTTTATAAATCAACTAAACTAACCCTTTTCAGAATACAAATTTATTGAGAAAAAAAAAAATTCCATACTTCATTATAAAGAAATATATACTTATGGCTATTTTTTGTTCATTCTAAAATAATTTTTTGACTGAAATCAGTACAATGTGTTGTTTTTTTAAATTTAAAAATCAATAACAGACAATGTCAATTTAAAATCTTAAAATTCCTAAATTATTTCAATTTAAATTAGTTGAATTATAGTAAATATGATAAATAAAATGTCCTTAAATCAAATCAATCATTTATTAAATATAATAAAAATGTATTCATATTCTTTAGATGGTTTGTACATGAGTTGGTATTTTTATATTAGATTTATACGAAAATATTATATATTAGGAGACAGACAATTGAGACAATTTTAATTTGGTCGCATGAGTGTTATTGCTATAATTTTTTGATACATAAAATTATAATTATTATACAATACTCACTAGTGTTTGATCATTTACGTATTGAATTCTTGTTTGTTTTCATCTTAGATATCACCTGAGAGTCCTTTTCACTTTTGGTGTCTGTTATTATCCATTAAAAATTAAATAAATAAATGACTTTTTATATACATAATACTTATGAATCAGTTAAACAATAAGAGTTAATAATTATTAGCTTTTATATAGTATATATTATAATACTTATATAAAAGTACTAAAATATGAGTTAATATATATATTAATAATAATTTTGTACGAGAATAATGTAAAAACAACAAACCTATTTGGAGACCAATTGAGAAATATGATATAAAAGGTATTATACATAAAATACATTGATTAAAACATCACATCAACACTTGTTGATAAAATTTATCTTTGTTTAATTGTTTAATATTAACGTGTAAGAATGTTTGAACCAATGCATTTGTAAGTATTACATACAAAATTATATATATGACCTTAATTTAAAATGAAATGGATATTTAAACTCATAATACCATATAACAGATGACCTAATTGATTAATTTCACATATAATAATTTTATAATAGTATTATAATATGGGTTAGTAACATTTAGCCGCCATAATTACATTTAAATACAATACTATTATTGTACTGTAAAAATGCATTATTATATTTATCTATTACATTTATTTTATTTAATAATTACAATCTAAAAGTAAATAATTATATATTTAGATTTAATGAATCTATTATTTATTATTTATCAAACTTATTTATATGATCTATGATTTAATGAATATTGTTGCAATTTTTTTTTTGAATTTAGTTTGAATGATTCTCAATAAAAATATTCTAGGTATCATTAGTAATGGACACTAAATATAGTAAAATACTTATAAATGGATATGACACATAAATGTATACACATTAAACACAATATAAAAATTATGAATGTATACAAAAGTCATTCAAAACAAATTTATCTGTGTGGATCATTAGTTTTAGGTGTGGAAGGTATATTTTTCAATGTATTTTATATATTTTCCACACAGTTCTATTTGTTGTCAATGAAATTTGTATACATATATATGTATTAAGTATATCAATTTATCAGCAATTTCCTAAGTAAATTGAAATAAGTAAGAAATAATTTTGAGATTTTCATAATAAATTGACATTGGGTTTTATTAAATTGTAAATATTAAAAAAAAAAAAACACTGTACATATGTAAATTTAAAAAAGTTTTATGGAATGATAAGAAAATACCCATCAGGATAATTTCCACAGCAATACAATTTGATATTAATTTTATTTGACACGTAATTGTAAAATTCTAAAACATTGTACTCAAAGTATGAACACAAAATATTTATCTTTCCTAATAATGAAACAATATGTTATGTTTATTTTCCTATCAGTATTTAGTGTTTAACTATAAACTAAATATCCAGAATTGCGTATTCACAAAAATTAATGCATAAGATCAGTATATTGAGTTTTAGGTGTATAAGGTAAAATTATGAATGTAATTCTCTTTATAAATAATATTTATACAGGAAAATAATCTAAAAATACTAACTAAATTAGAGACCATTTCAGAAACATGAGTACAATATTCTTAAAAAAGGAATAATATGATTTTAGGACATTTAGGAATCATTTTTTAATATACTTAATATCTATAAATTGGTAACTGGAATATGTTTAATGAGATGTATTCAAATTAAATTTTTAAAGAAATTAAGTCAATTAAGTTATTTTTACAGTATAATCATATTATTTGATGTAAATGTAATAATAATAGTTAATAATTATAAACAAGTATTGTTTTACTGGTATANTAGTATTGTATATGAAATACATTGATAAATATGTCTCTAATATGGTATTATGTGTTTAAATATTCATTTATTTATTTAATTCAAAATGAAGATCATAGATCCAATTTAATATCCAATATAATATTTTGTTTGTGTAAGTATCATATGTGATATTCATTGATTTGAACATCTATTATGTCAACTTTTCAAAATTTGTGTACTCATACATTGACTAGAAAATATTAATCAATTTTTATTATTCGTATTACGAAATTATGGTCTCACTATCTCTGAGATACAACAAATAACGATAATATTACCTGTTCCATTCGAAGTTTGAAAATCATGAACATCAAATACTCCAGCGCTTTTCCGACGTCTACAATTTTCTGTACAAGCCGTACTTATTACAATATGCAATTGTAAAACTACACATTTTCGATATAAAACTGTTAAAATAAAAATTTGTTTAAAATACAAACATTATAATTCGAGGTAACCTAAAACATTTAAAAAATGGCGTGTTAAATCCAATGAATAATAATTTTGAAAATTAGAGTTAAAACAAAACTTCAAATTAAAAATTAAAAATACAATAAAAAGGAAAATTAAAATCGCAAGCTAAAGAATACTGTCGTAGAGTTGAGTCGAACATTAATAAAATTTTCCTGGAACTTTATTCGAGTAAAGCAGAGCTTTTTGGCGATTGCTACGCACTGAAACAAATAAGTATACGGATCATCAATTACTATAGAATATATAGTAAAACAGAATAGAAAATTTAAGAATAATTTTAAGACAAAAAACAGTATACGAACCTCGGATTTATCAACCGTTCTGGGCAAATGTAGGGCCAACTTCGGTGCCATCGATTTCGCAATCCGCACGATGGCTTCGCCGCCGCCGTAAGCCTCGCACAGGACCGACGGGCTGTACGAGTCCAGGCGGAGGTAATCGGGATCTCCCCACGGGGGCGACGTGACCACTACATTTGCCTGTTGACCACTCGGTCCGGTATAAAAATCNTAAATATTTATAGGCAAACTAATATTCTCTATAAATTCAAACAAACATTGTGTCTATATGTATACAATTTGTATCAAATTTAATGAAATTACATATCAAAACATGTGCCTCATCATTATACATTTAAATCACAGAGACCTACATAAGGATTTTTAATGCAAACTAACAGCTATGCCATATAAATAAAAACATTGAATGTGTATTTAAGTATTAATTTGTATCTATTATTATGAAATTATTTATAAAGACATAATCATGATTAAAACACACATTTCTATCACAAAGAACTGGATTGTTAAATATTTAAAAGATTTTTCCATGGGCAAACTAATATTCTATATAAATTCAATCAGTTCAGTGTCTATATTTATTTCATTTATATCAATTATTGTGAAATTATACATTAGAACATTACTGTTCATATTACAAATTGCTAAAAAAAATTTTAAGTGATGTTTAATAAGGCAAACCGCGATGCTATTCAAAATTAATCAAATTATGTATTTTGAAAGTTTTTAATTTGTATTTAATATTTCGATAAGAGACATTTACGATTAAAATACACATTCCTATCACATGAGCCAGACATTTTAATATCAAAAGTTAAAATCTAAAAAATGATTATAATATTAAAATAATATTCTGTATAAATTCAAATAAAACTGCGCCCACAAGTATTTATATTGCATCAAAACTTATAAAATTATAAATATAAACTAGTGTCTGATCATTAGAAAAATTTCACTAACAGAAAAAAACTTCAAATTAAAACAAATTATACATTTAAAAGTATTCCACTTGTATTTAATAGTGTACAATTATATTTTAAAATGCATAACTTATCAAAATACATATTCCTATCACAAATAAACAGATTTGATTTTCTTGGTTCAAACTATATAATTCGGTCAATAAATGATTTAATGTGTACTCATAAATTGACTAGAAAATAATAATCAATTTTTATTTTTCGTATTACGAAATTATGGTCTCACTATCTCTGAGATACAACAAATAACGATAATATTACCTGTTCCGTTTGAAGTTTGAAAATTTTGAACATCAAATACTGCAGCGCTTTTCCAATGTCTACAATTTTCTGTACAAGCCGTACTTATTACAATATGCAATTGTAAAACTACACATTTTCGATATAAAACTGTTAAAATAAAAATTCGTTTAAAATATAAACATTAAAATTCGAGGTAACCTAAAACATTTAAAAAATGGCGTGTTAAAATCCAATGAAAAATAATTTTGAAAATTAGAGTTTAAACAAAACTTAAAATTAAAAATTATAAATACAATAAAAAGTAGAATTAAAATCACAAGCTAAAAAATACTGTCGTAGAGTTGAGTCGAACATTTATAAAATTTTCCTGGAACTTTATTCGATTAAAGCAGAGCTTTTTGGCGATTGCTACGTCTTGAAACAAATAAATATACGAATCATCAATTACTATAGAATATATAGCAAAACAGAATAGAAAATTTAAGAATAATTTTAAGACAAAAAACAGTATACGAACCTCGGATTTATCAACCGTTCTGTCCGGTCCGGTATAAAAATCGTTCTGCCGGAACTCGATGTTTCCGGCACAGCCATACACACCGGCGTTGTGCCGGGCCAATTTAATTTATGTTCGATCAATATCCATAGCGATCACTGATGTAA